GAATGACCAAACTGCCTTTAAAACTAACATGTTAGTGTATGTAACTATATTTGACTATAAAGGAATGCTAAGTGGGCTCTCTCAAATGTAAGACTCTTTATATAATTTTTGTCACTTCGCTGTTTAACTTCAATTTGCGTCCCAACATTATAAAACGTTGTGCCAAAAATATGAGGTGACAGAGAGTCTATGGAGAGTCTCACTTCAAGAGAGTCACCTTAGCATTTTTCTTGACAGAAATTTAATGGAATGTGGAAAAACTAGACAATAGATGGAAAATTAACTAAAAATTTAGGTTGCCTTAAATCTATTACAAAAATTGTATTAACTAGACAATAGATGGATTATGTTGGCTTGATGCAGTCTACCCATCTTTCTACTCTTTGTCGTACCTCTCTCAATCTCTCTATAATTTTCCAGTAGATAGGCCCTACAACACTTTTTTTTGTCAAACAATAGAGTTTTTTAGATCAAATGTTAGATTAGGGAATTGACGAGGTTCGAACCCACGCCGTGATGTAACATTCCTCTTCACCACTGTAGTAGAGGGCCACTTGTGCCCTACAACACTTTTTAATTTGTTTATATCTTGCCACATCACATATGTATGACATTCACTAATTATGAGTTGGGTGCTTTAACCATTCAGCCATAGATGCTTAGCGGGGATCCTCGTACATGGTGAATAATCAAATTCCAATTGAAATGAAATCTTTAGGATAAATCAATGCAATCTAGGACTCAATGAAAGGACTTCAATTCAAATCCTGGATTTTTGAATTGAGAGAGATCCAGAATTCTCACTATTACTTAGATTCATGGACCAAATTCAATTCAGTGGCATTTTTATTCACATTTTCTCCATCAAGAACGTTTTATAAAACTCTTGGACTCCCGAATTTGGAGTAGGATTTTTTTACAGATGTATGACATTGCAATTAAATTACAACTTTGTGTATGAAATTTTAAAGTTTTTATAATGTTTTTGAAGTTGCAATTTCACCCAAACTTAATTATGTAAACCGTAATTTACACTAAAATAAAAATTAAAAACAAAAACCTTAATTTCAGAGTGCAATTAGGGTTTCCTAGTGTGCAACCTGATTTCGTGTGCCTTGAAGGAGTTGTGAGGATTGTGGGCATGCTATTTAAAGCAAAGCAAGCAATGCAGTAACCCTATAGCACCAGCCTATCGTATGAATGATCAATGGCTGAGAAAAACAAGTCGCACATGTTAGAATTTGTATCTAAATTCTCAGTTATGAGAGCATAAAATAAAAGAACAAAATTGGAAGAACAAAATCTGGAAAATTCTTCACTTAGAGAATGTTACTCTAGTGATGCTTCATTGATCATTCACGCTGAGCTTGTGAGCTCACAACAGTACAAGCATATTACCATTAGAGGAGAGAGAGTTATACATATAAATCAATCACAGCCCTCCATTTAATCTAGTCTATGAGCTAATTACATCTTTAATTCTTCTAGCTTATGAGCTACTTAACCAACACTCTCCAATAACAATATTACACCTAGAAATTCACTATAAATCAGTGAACACATTTATATTTCAACACTCCCCTTTAAATGGTGCGCTAATTTCACTCTAAGCATACTTCTCAAATAGTTGAACCTTTCCCTTGACAAAGACTTGGTAAAGATGTCAGCTACTTGTTCACTTGTAAGACAGTACTTTAGGTCAATCTTTCCTTGATGTAGTGCATCCTTGATAAAATTGTACCTTCTATCAATATGCTTTGTTCTTTGATGGAAATAGGGTTTTTGGTGATTGCAATCGCAAATGTATTGTCACACCATCTGTTTGCATTACTTCAAAGCCTTCCAAAACAAATCAAGGCCAAATAGCCTGAGTGGTTACCTCTGATGCACTGATGTATTCAGCTTTTGTTGTGGATAGTGCAACACAGTTTTGTTTCACCGAGGCCCAAGAGAACATTCCACTCCCAAATAATAAAGCATAACATGATGTGCTTCTCATGTCATCTTCTGAACCACTCCAATCATTGTCACAATACCCTATTAGGACTGCTCATTTCCCTTTTTCATACTCTAAACCATACTCCAGTGTTCCTGCACATATCTTAAAACTCTTCTTGCAGCACGAATATGTTTGTTGGAAGGAAAGTGCATAAACCTTGCCAACAAACTAGTTGCATACATCAAATCCAGCCTAGTTGTTGTGAGATACAACAAACTTCCAGCAATTTTCATGTACTTTGATTCATCTGCAAATCCACTTCCATCCTTCTTTCTCAACTTTTCATTTGGAACCAGTGGAGTGCTCACTTTTTTTCAATCCTGCAGTCCAAACTTGCTCAACAAGGAAGCTGCATACTTCTTCTGGTGAATAGATATGCTGGTATCAGTCAGCATTATTCCCATTCCCCGATAATGGTGCAACAACCCAAGATCAGACATCTCATACATGGTCATCATATCTTCTTTGAACTTCTGAATCATATTCCTGTGTAGATTATGTCATCTACATAAATGGAGACAATGATGATTCCTCCATTTCACTGCACTTTGTATAGAGTGTTGCTTCATATGAGCTTTTCTGAAACCTACACTATGTGAAGTATGAATCAATCTCCCCATACCAAGCTCTGGGAGCTTATTTTAAGCCATAGAGATAGCCTTATCTAGTTTGTAGACTTTATCCTCCTTCCCTTCAACCACATAGCCTTCTAGTTGCTATACATATATACTTTTTCCTTCTGGTTGCTCTACATATACTTATTCCTGCAATATGCCATTTAGAAAGGATTTGACATCCAATTGAAACAATTTCCAGCTTTTTTGAGCAATAAGAGCAATGAGAGTTCTAATGGTGTCAAGCCTAGTAACCGGTGCAATAGTCTCATTGTAATTGATTCCAAGGCTTCTGAGCATATCTTTCAGCCACCAATCTGGCTTTGTTCTTTAACATTGATCCATCAAGATTCGATTTCGTTTTATACACCCACCTTACTCCAATGACAGGCTTATCTGATGACCTATCCACTAACTACCATGTATTGTTTTTCTCAATCATGCTCAGCTCATCTTCCATTGCTTTATTCCATGACACATCAGTTGCTGCTTCAGTATAGCTTTCAGGTTCCACAATGCACAAGTTACAGTGCTCATAAACTTCACTCACTTTCTTCAACTTCAAATGTGTTATATCATAAGTTTCAAATTCTAGAATGCCAAATTGAGTGCTACTTGATGGCAGCTGAGACAAGGGAACACTCTCAGTATCATTCTTAGTTGATTCTTCACTTTCTGAGTCAAGTAGTGGAATCCAGACATTTGTGCCTATGCTAGTCTCCCAATTCCATTTCTCTCTTCATTGAAAAGCACATCTCTAGAAATAATGATGTCTCATGTGCTAGGATTATAAATCATGTACCCCTTTTCACATGTATCGTAACCTACAAATATGCCTCTTGTGCTTGTAGGTTGCAGTTTGTGTCTCATGTGACTTGGTATCAGTGAATAGCATACTGAACCAAATATTTTCAAGTGTTTTACTCCTGGCTTTCTTCCACTAAAAGTCTCAAATGGAGTAATGACGTCTAGAGCTTTTGTGGGACACTTATTAAGTACAGAAAGGATTCTTCACTCAAAGAATGTTACTCTGGTAATGCTTCATTGATCATTCGCGCTGAGCATATGAGCTCACAACAGATGTTTACCGGAACCGCCATGCATCTTTCATAGTACTACTAGTGGTACAGATGGCGATGGTGGTGATGAAAATCAGGACGGATTTCGTTCCTTTGGCCTTGAAATTGCAACTCGAAGAAGAGAGACATACCTAGGAGCTAGGGCATGATTTTTGCCTCGGATCATCTCATTGATATATATCTCCTTTTCTTAAATAAACCTGTAGATCGGCTTACGCTCGTAAACCCCTTCTCGGAAAATCAACTCCAACTCACGCTCTTGAATACTGTTCCAGATATTTTATCCCCTACAAGGGGTATTTGTGGTTTGGAATGAAGTTAGGAATGCAGCTTCTGTTGATTGAATGCGCGCAAACAAATATTTGGCGGCCGTGGTTTACAAAGTTCTATCCCGAGGACCGACATGCTCATCTTCCAGCACCGACAGTACGATGGACTGTTGGTTATGTATAGCACGCGCGCCTTGTTATGACCAATAATTATTCATTTTTATGCCTTACGCAGTGATTTCAGTGTTGAAATCTGGGATATCCCTAATTCCTCGATTCCCATAAAAAAAAGGTCGGAATTCCGAGCTGATGCATCTGTGTTACCTCAAGGCCGCTGACCTTTCATCCAACGTTACATGGCACATATCAAGACGCCAGGAGTTGTATTTCGCGTTGTTAAGTTTGTCCGTGATGACTGTTACTGCGAAATTCGTCCGGTGGAATTGGCGGTAGCTATAGATGGATTGATGTCGATTCAATTGGTCATCATGTTCATGCATTGGTTTTGGGTGTGAACCAGTCCATAATAATCTCAGCAAAAGATGATGCTTCGCAGTCTGCTCATGACGTCAACATACTTTATTTCTCCCAGCCTTGTCTCTAGCAACTAGGCCTATGTGTGTTTGATTTGAGAGAAGAAGGAAGGAGATGCTCTCTCATTTTATTTTTGTTACTATTATTTGGATGCCTTCTAAGAAGCTTCGAGCCGGTTTGGGAGTGCGATAGGACATAGGAGGATCCACCAACAACTACTTTCGGAATAATCCTTCCCCTCGTAAGTGATTTTAAAGTGCTTTTGCAAAATCACTCGTCGAGGGGGCATATAGCTTTTCAAAGTGCTTTTTCAACAAGCTTAAATTAGAAGTCATTTCCGATACAGGATCTGTATCACCACACGAAGCACCAACAAACTTTCTCAGATACCGTAAGATGATGAGGACCTACTGCTAACTAGTTGCCGATTAGCCTGAACAACAGAATTTCTAACGCGCACATTGTGTACATTGATGCGAGCAGCCAATCACCAAACTCAAAATGCTATAAAAAATTGGAGGCTTCAATGAGTTCGTGTTCAACTTAACAGTCTGCAATCAATACACCGATAACTAAGCGTCGTAAATGCCAGAAATAACTACCAAGAAAATTACACATCTTAACTAAATTACAAACCCTACTCTTACAGCTGACTACAATGATTCCAGGGCAATCCCAAACATTTTAGGCCCAAAAGAAATAAATAATATAGGAATACATCATTGGGACACAAAATTATGGGGTTTGCTATAGATTATTATTACTCAACAGTTCAACCTAGGATTTCTAAGTTTCCGAGTTTGTAAGAGTTTTGCTGTGTTCCAGTATCAATTCGTAGAGGTTGTCAGCCGTCGGACGATTCTCCGGATTCTCCTCCGTACATTGGTAGAACAAGTCAACAAGAAATCTCAGTGTGTCTAAGTCAGCCTCTGTTCCCTCAAGTTCCGCGCCTGCTTGAGTCATTACCGGCTCATTCAATGACCGAAACGCCTCCAAGTCATCTGTTAACCTTGGTCGTTTTCCCCTCTGCACGCACCAAACAAGCAGATTACTTCCGAGGTTACAAAACATTCAACCTACAATTTCATTAAAAGATAAAACAGAGGCAACCTAAAACAATTAGCTGACACAATCTACATGCATGATTGAGTCTTAATGACAAGCCAACCTAGGCTATGGAATAATGAAGCGATATCATATGAGAATAACATATTCACTTCCTCACTTCACTGACAGGATGTTTCCAAATTCGGTTTCAACAAACAACAATTAGTGATGCATTCCACGCATACAATACATACCTCACCGAAAGTATGGACACCTCAAAATCTTACAAATAAATCCCACTATTCAGTCATATTTCACATTCTCTAACAATCATACAAAATTCTTCATACGAATAAAGATGGAACAAGAGGAGTAGTACCGTCAGAAGTTCATGAATCTCCAATTCAGGTACTCCGAAGTACGGAATTTGCAGAGTCAACATTTCCAACAGCAAGCACCCAAACGACCAGATATCAATTTCCTGTTACCAATAGGGAAACAAACTTACCAACACAAAAAAAGCAAAGCAACACAAATTTAAGATAGAAGAAATATTGAGGTTGAAACCCATGGAACTATCTCGAACTCCAATGGGAACGTATGTTTTTAGATAGATGGATTTATTGCAGTGCTATTTGTGGTTGCCTAGCTATGATAACACTCATTGTCCTAGCTTAATACAATTGCTTGTCAACAAAAGATATGCTCTATTATACTAACTGGATGCTATATTTCAAAAGAAAACTTGTCTATAACCTAATGAACAAAGTAAATGAACACTTGTATGCATATTATAGCATTCTGTGCACAAATAGTTAACTACCAAACAGATGGAAAAGAGATGTAGAGAAGAAAATATATAAGGGATCGACAGATATGTGACAAACTGACCGGATGAAAAACTTACCAATCCATATATATTTCGTTCATGCACTGCTCGCAAAACCTCTGGGGCCATCCAGCGAGGTGTTCCAGCACAAACATTAGCAGGAGGTATTCCTATGTGGGCGATGCAGCATGTATGCAAGTAAGATCGAAGGGGAACTGCCCTATCAAAATCACAGAGCTTCACAACATGTGTTCCATCAGCTCTCTTCCTATCCAGATCAATCAAAATGTTTGCACTTTTTACGTCCCGGTGAATAATGTGCTTTGAATGCAGCTCCACCAATGCACATGCAACATTTTTAGCGATGCACAAAGCTAACTCCACTGGAAGACGCTTGTCACCAGCTTTTGATAGCTTTTCCATATAATTCTGTCGGATGATGGAGATGAAAATGTTCAAAAAAATAAATAAAACCAACCAAGCAAAATGAAACCTGAAACTTTACTATCTATAGTTGAATTCACCTGTAAGGAACCTCCTTTTATGTCCTCCATCCAAATTATAGACTGCAATATACGATGCTCAGGACTACCATTCCCAGAAGGAACCCACTTGGAAGATATCTGATGTCCATACATTTCCACTATGCAAGGGTGTTTCAAAGCACCTAAAATCCTTATTTCCCCTAAACAGTTGTAGTCAAAGTTCCTAATTTCATCCGTTGAATTTCCATATACCACGGAAGTACGCATCTGCAGCATCCACAAGCAAACAAAAGGAAGATTTAGATCATTAATTGTAGTAACAAGCCTAGGAACTTCCAGACCTATCAAATAATTGCCAGCACAGCCAAACTACTAAAGGCCTGAAAATAACTCCAAAGTTTTCCAGCCTGATAACGGATTGAACTTCAAGAAACACACCTTTCCTGCTGCCTCATTTGATCCATATTTGCACCGGACGAGAGAAGTAACAGAGTTTTTTAGAGTTTCATCACAAGAGGGCATAGAAGGGAAGGAGGTAGGAGCAGGGCTGCTTCGAATTGGAAGATGAACTTTGGTCCGGCTGAGAGGAATATACCTGCCATCACAAAGTGAAGATACACACAAAGTCTCAGCAATAAATATCCTGTAATGCCATGTTTTTGGTATGTAATAAAATATATATTCGAAAATCACAATATGTTTACTAGCCAAGCAGGCAATATGTGTACAGCAGTTCAAAAATCAAACCAAATGAAACATCTAAACTAAAATTTGAGATATGAAGGTCCTAAAAGGGCAAAAATAGTACAAGATAATTTCACAAATGAAGTACAAAACAATTACTGCCAAATCCTAAGCACTGCATCTAAATGCAACATTGATACAAAGATTCTCCACTCAAAATAGACACATTCCGAACGTAGGCAAGTTGATAATCAAGCCATAAGTGACATCACAGATCAAGGAACAACAGAAAAGGAGGGGATAAGATGAACCATAAGCCATAATGCAGACATGTACTTTATAAAAGTTATATGACCAGGCATCACGCAACAATTCCTAGCAATTTACAGGGTTACCAAGCATTTCATGCTAAACCTACAAAAACAGAATTAATATGGCATTGCAATACAGTGACCCAGAACACGAATACGCTCTAAAAAGAACATTTTCCTTTATCCAGAGCATCTTCAATAGTGAAGAATTACCAAGATCATTTACATGATAGACTGACCTGCAATAATATTCAGGATCAGTCTCCACTCTTAAATCACGCGGACGACATGCATCCACTACCATTCGAATCTCTGAGGCACCTCTCTTGATTGATACAATATTCCACGCATGTGGCATGAAATCCATGTAACCCCTAACAAGCTCACAAGGTACCCGAGGCTCCACCCAATCACAAAGATACTGCAGAGAAATTAAGTTTCATCATATTAGGATACCAAATTAAAACCTATTGCAAATTAACAGACATCAGTACAAATAATAAATGATAAATTTAATACAGACTCACCTTCAATAGCAATGCTCTATGCCGACACACACCAAACTGCAAGGTTCCAATGGGAACCACAATGGATTTTTGTCGTGCTTTAATAGAACGAAGGGATTTCTCACAGAGATCAGAAAAAACGATATCTTCAAAATTCTTTAAAACTGGTTTAGTGGACAAACTAATAAAGCCCTTATTTCCAGTTGGGCAGGTGCAAACAAAAGGCTTCCTGTAGTCTGAAAGAGGATTAGCTTTTCGTGCCCATTCAACAAGAGCACTCCTATCACTTCCCCCAAAGTGATCTGATACAAACAGAGCAAGCAATGATGCAATCTGCAGCATATCAGCCTTATTTCCATCTGTATTTAAACGATTCACCAATTCTTGGGCAGAACGTAAAATAACATCCAACTCTTTATCCCATTGCCTGAAGATAAATTAAACAACACAACCACTATCAGTTAAAAACCAAGAGGAGGACAGCAAATACACGTGAACATAAAAGACTTGCATAAAATTACAACCTGTCCACAAGAATGACTTCACGTGAGTCAAGGTGGAATTTTTCCTGATAAAGTTCTAGTGGCATGAATGGCCTGTCACGCCCTGCATCATAAAAGCCATCAGAAAGATGGTCCTCAGTGCTGCAAACCGAGAAGTCATTATATTTCCGAGACAAGTTTGAACTATCAGGACAGTATCTAGGATGTTTGGGCCGTCTCGGATTATCAAGGTTCCCATCAGGGTGCCTTTTGGGTTGACAAATACTTTTTGATGCATCTGAAGATGAACCTTCATCTTCCTCACGATAAACCTGTTGATTGGAGGCTGACGATGCATCAAACTCACAACAATCCTTTTCATCACTTTCATCTAGTGTGCTAGAGTCTGGAGTCACAGATGAGCAATTTCCTACAAAACGCTCCTTCGAGCTCACATCATGGCACACAATATTTTCACTTTGCACTTCCCTAGATAGTACATCTTGATCACCATCATCATCCAGATTGATAATGTCTGATGCACCTTCAGGATAAGATTCAGAAGCAAGAAGATCTTGGATGCCTGGTTTGCTTTCTTCATCTTCCCGCACGTGTAACCGCTTGGAAGGATCAAGACCTTTCAACTTTCTACTGTTGTTTAAGCGTTCTTGACGAGCTCTTTGCTGCAAACTGTACCCTTGCTTCCTCCACCTACCTGACCTCCGAGTTGCACAGCACCTACTGTTCGATGAATGTGCGAAAGTTAAACTTGCTGAGCTATGATGAAAGCCTGTAAAAACATTCAGAGTAAGATACAAATCACATACCAATATATATATAATAGAGAGAATCAAGGAGAGAGCGTTGACTAACTAAAACTGAAGACTAAATAAAGTACATGTGTAATTCCGCAGCCTTACCTCTGCGAAATAAACTTTCATTATTGTTCCCAAGAAGGGTTTCATATACTTCCATTTCTACAGAGGAACTGGTAGAATCATCACCCAGTGTCTCCTTCCCATTTCCTTCTAAATTGCAGCATATCCATGAGGGTATTTGACAGAAAGTGAGAAGCTTGTTGTACTGAACCATAAGAGAGCATGAAATAAACCACGTTAGATTTTCATATCAGATATCACATAAAACAACTAAAGAACGTTTATTCTAAAAGGAAGTTGAAACTACATATACAATTCAGAATAAAAGAAACCAAAAACCTAATTAACAAATAGGTGCATGTGGTCATCTTTCTCTTCTACAAGCAAACCACATGATTTTGCAAGTGAACTTATACACTGTTTGCAGAAGTCAAAACAAAATGAATTAAAAAAGTATGTGCGCCATGGTTGTAAGAAACATGATAGCCTAAAACCTGTCCAAAGATAGTTTAAGTGGTTTGGCACAAAAAGAATAAGCACAAAGCCATCATGAAGAAAGTAGCAGTAGAATATGAATTTCAGCAAGTTATTGAGGATAAGTTCAGAAATGAAATAAAATCTTGATCCAATGAATTAAACCTTGGAATGTCATTATTGTAGATTATAGATAGAAGAATACCAGCACTGAAAAAGGAACACTTGACTACAATAATCCTAGTTTGCGATTGAATGTAAGTACCTGAAGATTTAAAATCTGGAGGTTGTGCATCAAGTCAAGTTCAAGATATCCTAGTGATGTCAATCTATTATTGGACAGGTCCATTGTCTCCAACCTCTGCAAAGAGGACAAAGTCGAAGGCAATTCCACCAATTTATTATTAGCAACTTTTAATGATATCAAGGCATTTAAATTACTGATCTCAGCAGGCAAACTTTTTATCTTGTTGAATGAAAGATCTAGATATTCCAAAGTGTTTAAGCAGCCAATTTCTGGAAGGAGGTATCTGCAGTAAACACGCCATAAAGTGGATAAGTTAAAGTCGGTAACTATTTTTACATTCTATGGAAATGAAGAAACCATTAATTATGATGTAATAGAGGCCTAATTGCCCAAATACATGAAAACTGCTAACAATATTAATGATAATAAAAACCAGAATTTCACTCAAAAGCTAGCCAAATAGAGATAATTAACAAGATTACCAGATCCTTAAATTCAAGACCACAAACAAAACTCCCATCAGTGTTTTATCCGAAAGATCTACTATTAAATAAGAATTTCTCAAATGATCCCTAATTACCTTTGACACATTTCATACTTCTTTTGCTCAAGGCCCATAAAAAATACCATAAATGCAACAAATAATCTTGAGGATGCCATGTTACCGGTACATTAAACTTGCATAGCAACACCTGTACTACATTTTGGATGTGCATCATTCTTTCCCTAATATTACGCACTCAACGTAAATGCTCATTAGTTTTGATTTCTCTTCTTTATGTTACTTTTCCGGATGTTTGTTAGCAGTTGCATATCAACAAGTTCATAGAAAAAGAATCGTATAACCATCAGAATGTTGGAACATTGATCACATACAAAGTTGAAAACTTTATATAATCTCTTAAGAGAAAGACACGAAAGGTATAGGGGTAAAAACCCAAGTAATTAATGAAGTCATCTACTTTTTCATCTAGCCTATGATCCTCGAACCTCGACCATCACTCCTTCCGAACGCATTCAAGCTTACTCACTAGCTAAAGCACACAAATGATGAAACCATTTAGGAGTTCAACTTCAGAGGGCTCATCTTATACTAGGCAAAACCGCTCGAAAGTACAAAATTTGATAATATATGACCAATATCACTGCCTATCCAGTCTACATCACTAAACAAAAACTCGAATCAAAAGCATTCCAATGAAAAACACAGCAATCAGCGTTGTCCTTAAGCAGGAGAAAAATAAAATAAAAAAATAAAAAAAAATAAAAAAAGCTTACCTTATAGAGAAGTGACAAACAGAGAGCTTGGTGAGGCACTTGAGCCGAGCAATCTCGCTCAATATCTGAAACCCCGAAGGCCTCGGCGGCACTTTGGAAAGCTCAAGCTCCTTCAAGCCACTCAATTTATCCAACGGCAACCCACCAAACTCCGGCGACGACATCCTCAGTTGCAAGCATTCCAAGCTCTCAAACTCCATCGCCGCGGACGGCGAAAATAAATTAATCTCATTCCCAAAGAACTTCAGCGTTCTCAATCGCTTGTGAGAGGCAATCGACTTCGGCAATAAAATAAACACGTTTTTATACAGATACAAAGCCCCGGCATCCTCAGAATTCTCCCTGATCGAAAAGTTTAAGCTTTTGCCGGAAATATCGACAACCCTCGAGTCGCCGTCATCGCCGTCGGCAGCGGCTCCGCCATCTTCCTCTTCGACAGTCGGATTGGAGGCTTCAGCTTCTGATTGCTCTGGTTCCTTAGGGTTTTCGGGGGCAGCTTCGTCAGAATTGGGGATTTGCATTGAAAATTGGAGCCGCAATTCGGGAGAAAAACCCGAATTTCTGAAGCGGGCAGGCTGAGAGATCTGTTTGGGAGGCGAGAAAATATAGGATTAATGGCATTGGACGAAAAATATGAATGAGAGGGAAAATCGAAAGAGGAGCGGGGAAGTAGACCGACCGCTCCTTTGCGAATAATTTAGAGAGAGAAAATACCTAGTTAGTCCTCCACTGTAGTTTCCGCGAAGCAAACGGACGTTTTGCGTCGGGCGCACTGTTATATATAGTTATATTATTATACAAATACCTACCTGAATTATTGTTTGAACGACGTGTCTAAAATCCACGGGCCGCACTGGGATTTTCTCTCTTTTTATGAAAATTTTTGGACTGTTGAAATTGATTTGTGATTTTTTTAAGAAATTGTCTTTGAAATTGACATAACTTCTCATTTTGCTCTATCAATTTTAAAATCGATCAATTTCATTCTTAATATTTACTAACTCACATCAATTTGATCTTTCTGTTGGAATTATGTCAATTACCTGGTGTTTTGATACAACATATATATGGATCTATAATATTCTAAATATCATAAACCTAAATGAATAAATAGACAAACAAAAGAAAAATTAGAAAATAAAATAAAACGAAGGAGTCGACAACACATGAAAATTTCAGTGGCGTCAAGTGTATCTTTAAAGAGCAAATACAAGACGACGACCAACGGCTCGGTGGAGTGCTCAATGGCTTACTCCATGAAGGAGTGGAGCATGTGGAAGGCCAAGGTTGTCACCCACTACAGCTTCATTCCTCTAATCCTTCTATTTGGACCCAAATTAACAGTTTTGACTCGAGAGCGATCATGGGCTTGACCCAAGGATAAATCCCCAAGGAACATGGAATATTCCCAAGTAAAGCCTGGCCCAAGGAAGAGTCAGTTGAATCCTGATACAATGAAGAGTCGTCATGATTGAATCAGATGTCAATGATGCTTCAAGAATCAAGGAGTATCTATTGAAGTCGAAGATTGAATCTAAAAAGCAAAAAGGTTGGGTTTAGAGTCCTAAATCAGATAGGAATGGCTGAAACGCATTTAGAAAGAATGTAGGAGAGGTCATAATTATACTCCGAGTGGGATTCTATTCGGTCTTGTGGTAAATCATCATTATAAAGAGGTAGGGTAGTGCAACATTCAAAACCTCTCCAAAGCAACACACAAATCTGCCTGCACAAACTCTCGCTCTACGCGAATCCTCTTAAACCTCTTGAGAAATTTTACTTTATTGTTTACCCACCAACACATCTTCAATTTGGATAAACAATATTGTGAAGGCAACCAACGACATATTCAATTGGATAAACAACACTGGAGCAGTAAAGTCAGGCAACTGAGAAACACTTTCAGTTTGGATAACACAACACTGCTTTTAGGTTGGTTCCTTACCTATCCAAGTCTATGTTAGCAAGGGTTCTTTGAGTCCTTGTTGGAAAAAGTCATCCCATTAGCCTTTCAACAAGTTGTGGTGTTACCAGATCACTCAGTATTCGGCACACTAAAAGCCGAATCTAGTATTGAACTTCATAGTAATTAACAGCCTCGTCTTCATGCTCTACAACCCGAAGGCCGAGACCTGTTCCTTCCTCGATCGTAGTCATAAAATTTAGAAGTCATCAGTGCGCCCAACGCCACAACACTCAATCACTCCCTGTCGAGCTCAGCCGATGAGTTGGCATGACCCGCATTTAACTGAAAGACATAGTTAGGTTATTAGCTTTTCGGCATGTGTACCACATAGACTAAGTAGTTTTTGGGATCAACATATTGCATTTGTTTAGTGTTAAAATTAAACCAAACACTCGTATTTCTTTGGTTTAGTTGGTATGGGAGAATTCAAAGTATTTCTTCCTAAACACATGACATAAAATTGTTGAAAGAAAGAGCTGGTGTTCCTAAGAGCATCTCCAATAAAGACCCTAAATGGAGTCCACACAACCATATAGTCCCTAAATATAGGGACAAATGACTTTCAATGGCCCGGAATTGAAGTCCTCAAGGTAACTCAATACATAGAGACTTGTCAAATACCTCAAAAGAATTCTCAAGTATAAGGACTACATATAGGGACTCAAATAGTGGACTCCATATTAATTTTGAGTGGGAATGGTGCTGTTCTTTATGTGTTTTTTCTTATTTTTTGAGCCCACAGGGCAACTTCTCGTTTGCCTTTTTTTTTAATTCTTGAAAAATCAATGGTAGAGATAGTTTTTTATTTAGGAAAACTAATGAAAAGAGCTTGAAAATTTTGAGTTTAATCAAAAGGACAAAAATGTGTTGCAAGTGAATGGTACCAGGAGTGACTTTTTAGAGTAAAAATGTCATGAACGTTAAAAGTGAACAGTACCATAAGTATTTCGTTAAGACTCCCTTTTTATTTTTATCAATGGTTACAATATTTCAATGAAATGATAAATAATTTTTTAATATTTTAGTGCCTATATTTAGGGATTATACTATAAAATTTCTATCATGGACAATATTCTTTTAGGGACTCGAATATTCCTCTAAAGCCACTAAATGAGTCCTCAAAGATGGTGGTTAGGGACCCCATTAAAGATGCTCTAATATAGTGCGAAGCGGCCAGGAATAGAACATTTCCCTTAATTGCAGTAAATGAGGAGTTTTTATAATCACCTTCAACTGTGCCTTCTAAGTAAGCCTGTCAATTTCTTGCACCCGTAATCCGACATAAAATTAAAAGGTTCCGGGTCAACCATCTAACTAGTTGTGACCCCGGTGGTGGATCATATTATTGTGCAGTCACAGCCGACCCTGGCGGTGGAGTGTTCATATTAGACCCAAAGAAACCAGCTGGAGGACATGTGGTTGACCATGCCGTAACAATCAGGCTGATGTCAGGAAAGGCAAAGGCGAACAGCGTGTCTGCAAGGTGTTCGATGCCCCAAACCTGCCCGAGGCTGAAGCAATATCCTTCATACATTTACATAACTATCCCATATCAGAAATTGGTCTGTATCCAACGCAGTATTATTTGATGTTCTATGCCAGAAGTTTTTGACAGTAAGCAATTACATAATCACCTCTTACTTTCAAATTTTCAATAACCATACAAACTTTGGTAGCCACCTAGCCATTTAAAGGCAAACGATGTCATGAATACGGAAATACAATTGAGAAAAATCGGATCAGAATTAATCCAAGGCCTACTTAATAGCAAAAGCCTTCTCAACGAAATTAGTTATGAACCTTAATAATTTGTCGACCAGTTGGCAGCACTCCCGACTCTTGGGATGCCACTCGATTCCTTCTTAGTTTCAGCATCGACCTTGAAATTGGCACCACACATTTCACCTGAGCTATCCACACGTGGCACCGCCTTCAACTCGTTGTGGGGATGCTCGTAACTCCTCAAGCCTCCAGAGGAAGTGAAGAAACAACCTGAGAGAACAGTACCAACATAGTTATTAGCAGTCTACCTCTCATACCAATGATTCAAGTTAAAAGTTCAAGCTAAGATCATAACAACTAAAAAGGAAAGCAATGCCATGCTAAACAAGAAACAGAAGCAGGACAAAGGGCCTAGATTATCCCAATGACTAAGATGAGAAATCAGTTGCATATTTACATGTTAAGGAATTCAAATTTCCAATATACAAAACTACTAATTCCATACAACATTTGTGGCATTATACTGCTCCACAATTGAAATATAGCAGGAACATCATACAACGCATAAAGGACACCAAGAAAATGCTAAACTTTTTATCCTATCAGGCCTAATGCATTTGGTTATAGTTATATACCTTTAGGAAATGGTGCAAAGGAATTTCCGCAGCCCTTTTTCACAACTTCTGAATCATCTGCAAGAACAAGATGGCCTTCAGAATCAGTTCCCCAGAAGAACGGAACATTCCCATCAGTATCCTGCACAAGAAAAGGAGTCAGCTCAACCACAAAACCAAAGAAAGAGACACAAGAACTTGAAAGTAAACAAGGACATGGGCCGATTGAGGGCATATCTAGGCAGAGAGGTTTTACTTACAGCAGCTACAAAAGCGGCTTTGGAAGCACTGTCAAAGAGAACAAATGCAAACTTCCCTTGGATATCTCTCACAACCTGGTCAGCAGGATAGGGACCCCGGTCTCTCAGAGTCCTGAAAGCTTCAATCACAATGATCACCTCATTGGCTGTTTTGTTCAATCCATATTGTTGCTTAAGAAGAGCAACGTTCTCAATGTGGCCTTGGAACAGGCAGAAAATGTCGTCCACAACCGCAAACAACCTAACAATATACAATGAAAATGTCAAACATTAAATTGAAGTGCTAGCAGGACAAACAAAAAACCAAGAGCCATAACAACAGAAAATTTGGTTCCTTCTTTTTTTTTTCGTGAGAAAATTTAAACGAGAACAAAGTCAGAGTTAATTTCTCAATGCAATTCCAAAACTACTGATCATTAACCACAACAAAATCATAAGAATCAATCTTCTGCACTACAAAACAATTAAAGAAAATGGCATTCAAATGAATGAGAAACAAAAATTCTATGATCTCACTCCAACAAATATATGAAATTATACTTAAATTACTAGGAGGATATTGCCAAAAAGTTAATCTGTCTTTTTGTTCCGAATCTCCACCAAACAATTCATATGTTCTTTGTCATTATCAAGAAAAACAAAGAATTTACAGGAGGTAAAAACCATATCATCAAAATACATGAAGACAAACAAATTAGAATTGAATCCAATCACACAATTTTTACAAATAAGGCCAAAATACATATGGTCAAACAGACTTTTTTTCCTCAAACTAAATGAAAACAATCTGGAACAGATTTAATCCAAACCAACGTTCTCTGATCATAAAAAACAATATCAATCTGTACAAAACTAACATTAAAACCAACGAACACATACAAAAAGTCACAGAAAAAACCCAACGACCCACGAATCGTCAAGCCCAGATCAACCAAATACTACACAAACATTAAAAAACAAAGAAATGGGCAATCATAATTTCTTCTTTTCTTTAAAGGGCATCTTCCATATTAATTTATCTTAACCCAAAAATAAGACCCACGAATCATCAAGTTCGGATTAAAGAAAACTACAAAAACGAAATGGGCAGCCTTAGTATCTTGTTTGCTTTAAAGGGTAGGTATCATCCATTTCACTAATTTTAAACAAAAAAAGGCATGATTTTCCGATGGTATTGTACCTTGGAAGAAGAGGGTTCTGTTTGTCGAGAGAGTAGGCGATTACACCAGAAGAGCCAAGATTGACGGTGACGGAGGAAGGGTGCACAGAGGCAAACTGCCGCGCCAGAAACCCATCTTTCAGGGCGGAGGCTGATCCGGACTGAGGGCTCTGCAGCGCCTCGGGGCTTTTGGCGACCGACTTGTCGAACACTGCCAGCATTTTCTGGATCGCTGAGTTGATCAAAAAGAGTGAAACGCACAGAAATGGCTATCAAATGGATCAAAGCAGAGATATAATGTTAATTACGAGTTCAACATAATAAGCTTCGAGAAAGGAGTTTCTGTTTTCCAATATTGCCCTTACTGCGTTGTACAAATTACAGGTATTTGTGGCTATCTTGCCAGTAAAACTCGTTACTATTTTGGTTTTGATGAAAGTGGAAGATGCTATTCGGGGAAATTTTGGTTACAATTTAATCCAGTAAATGAGAAAGTAAATCTTTTTGAAATTATTACTGACAAACAGATTTTGTAATAATTTACCAAAAAAAGGTTTTGTGACAATAATATAAAACTACTACATTCACTCATTTGACTTATTTTCTCGTCTTCTTTCTCGTTTCACTCATTGTTATTCATAAATGTTTTTACTTTCTAAATTGAAAATAAAAACTAAAGATGGAGAAAAAGCATAAATTCAACAGCCACGTAGAGTCGCAACTCACTAGCTGACAGCAACCAAAATCACCACCGCACCCGCGCAGCAACAACTCTTGTTCTCCTCCCCGCCGGCCAAATTATTTTTCCATTTCTCTCATTTTCTCTTCTGGTACCAAATCTAAAAACAAAAACCGTAAATATGAATACCTATCAGATTTCTCGCTTTTAAAGATTATTGTCAAGAATTGATGCCCTACACCATATCCGTTGCAAATCTTTCCCGTCCATCAATCAAAGATATAAAGTTGATTTTGAAAGAAAGGAAAGAAGCTTGTTGAAAGAGAGAGACACGGGGAAGAAGGAGATTGGAAATTTTGAGCTTTTTTTCTTAAATTTTGTTCGTATGACTTTTTGTTAGGGCTTAAAAGTTATTTAATAAAGTTGTTCTAACTATGATCTAATGATATTTTTCTTCATTTAGAAGTAAGAGATATTAGGTTCGAATATCGTAAATGGCGAATTCGATACCAAATTAGGCTGCTATTATGTAGCTTAGCCGAGCTCTCACTTCCCTTAGTATAAAAATATTGATTTATTAAAAAAAGTTATTTAATAAAAAGTTAAATATATTTATTAAAATTTTCCATTAAAAATTTGGTGCAATAAATAGGACATGCGGATAGTTTTAGCAGCACTCTAAATATTCTAATAATTTAGTTGCTGCATATCAATGTTCATGAACACTAATTTGTTTGTTAAAATAATAGAAATTGGGGTTTTCAAACGATAGCTTTTATTAATAGGAATTGGGTTGGATGCATTCAAGTTGAATGTTTCCACTAAAAAAAGGAAAGATCACGTGAAAAATATTCATATTGAAAGCGTTAAAGATAGACTTGGTAATTTCTGACACGGTCAATTAATCATACATGAAATGATACGAAATTAACAGGTTATTGGGTTGACATGATAACAAATTGGGTCGCTATCGGGTAACCCAATAAGCACATGTTAAGATAACGGATTGGTCCGAGTATACACGTGGGTAACTCGATACACGATAATCAAAATATTACTTTAATAATTTTATACCCATATAAAAACTATAATAATTATACACACACACACGCTAAATTAAAGGGTAAATCTCAGTTTATTACCCTTAAGTTTCGTGGTTTTCAATATTTGGTACATGAAGTTTTTTTCGTCCCAGAGTTATACCTAAACTGTTAATTTTGGGACAGTTTCATGCATCCGTTAGTCTGGCTGTTAAGACTCTCGTTAAATGATGATGTGGTGCCTATGTGGACAATGACTAGGCATCACATGTCATTAAATGGTCCATGTGGAAATTAAAAATTCAAATTTTTTTTTTTGGAAACAAAAAAATAAAAAAATTTGGTCGTCTTTTAGCTCCGGCTCTTCCTCCCTTATCGTTCTATTCTCTCATATGCACTAACCCACCAAACCCTTCCCCCTCAATCTTTGACTCCACCCATCCACCCACCCACCTACCCAACCATAATGTTCTCTTCAATGGATTTTCCCCGGTCAATTCTTCCTCGCCGACCACCAGGGCGACAAGCCCAGCGACTTTTGCCACCTCTCTGGCCTCACACAGAACACTAAGATCGTCGATTCAAAATCCTTCGCTCTCACCCACTCCCGCCCTGGCCTCTTCTCCCTCAACCTCTCCGAGAATGACGACGAGGATGACATCAAGCTTGACCTGGAATACCGAAATGTCGAATTCTTCATCACTACCAAACCCGAAACTCCGACCCGGATCCAGCAACCCTTAAAGCCTCTGTCCTTCAACAACGACGTCCTCAAGCGACACAACCCTAAGCACCACCTCCACGTTCCATCTTCGAGGACCCCCTGTAACCAAACACCTCTGCCACGACAACGCATGTCATTGAGTACCAACCCCACCATCGCCACCATCCTCATCCCCTGACTCACCCTGGCAACCGAAGCCCCAATTCAGCTTCTCCACCGTCAATCTGGCCCTCCTACTATCCTTGTGCCCCCCCCCCCCCCACATGGAGGGATAAAGGAGGAAGGGAAGGTCGGAGGTAAAAAACAACCAAAATTTTTTTTTTTTGTTTCCAAATTTTTTTTTTAATTTCCACATGGCGCCTAGTCATTGTCCACATAGGTGCTACGTCATTAGTTAAGGGGAGACTTAACAGCCAGACTAACGAATGTATAAGATTGTCCTAAAATTAACACTTTAGGTATGACTCTAGGACGAAAAAAAATTTCATGTACTAAATGTTGAAAACCACGAAACTTGAGGGTAGTAACTGAGATTTACTCAAATTAAATTTAGAAAATTTGGAAAAAAGGGCAAAAATGGAATCGGATCCCCTCCGGACCCAAAGGAACTGAGCCCAATGATCAAATGATCTGGGCCATTGAAATTTGATCCAACATCTACAAATAGGGGGCCCTTTAAAAGTTATAATAATTTTAGCCGTTGGATCAATTCAATGGCCCGGATCATTTGATCATTGAGCTCAGTTTCTTTGGGTCCGTAATATATTTTTATATGGTATAGTGCTATTGTTTTATTTCTTTTCATAATTATTTTGGTAAACTTCTCATAATTTGAATGGTTTATAATGTTTGGTTTTTATATACTTATTTTATGCGGACTCTTGAAGGCAATAGATCAAGCCAAAGTTCCAATACAATTTCCCCACGATGATCAATGAAAATTTAAGGATTTTGTAAAAGGAAAAACATGCAAGTTTTGAGTTTCATTGACAAGGTTTTAACTTCTGGAAAAGGCTTCACAACCTTGAAAAGAAAAACTCCTTCATTTTGCATGGGCACATTTGATATTTTGCAGTAGACTATTAGTATGCTTTTTTATTAGGCTCTTATTTTGGAGTGTAGATATAGTACTTAACAACAAATGTGTTTTTATATTTTGAAGTAATATTTATGTGGCAATGCGGTATGTGCAAATTTAAGTTCTCGCTACAGAACTTAAGAAGTGATCGGATTTGACAAACTTTAGAATTATATTCATTCACAAACTTAAAGTCTTAGAAGCGCAAATGCTGTCAGTCATGTCTTGTTTCAGGCAAGAAGATGTCCTTTTGGTGATCAAAGCTACCCAAAGTGCTCATGGATCTTCCTCAGCAAAGTACTCGATTTGCAGTGCATCATGAATGTGTCTTCGGATGAAGATCATGCAGTGGCTTTCTCAGCTTCGCCAACCGGGTTATTCGTCTCATCTTCAATGGCGAAACGCAAATTCTTTGCAGTGAGGTGGTGCTTCACATCTTGGACCACTTGAGCTAGTTTCTTCCAGAGACCTCTAAAACGGTGAAGTCGAGTTTGATCAAATTCGACATGTCCTTATCACAAAATAAATGGACAAGAATATGGTTAGTGTAATGGAGAAAAAAATCAATCCATTCACATAGGAATAAAACATTTAGGTTCTAATAGACATGTATTGGTTTAAAGTTACATGAAAAAGCTTTAGGTTTTTCATGGGTGATGTTTTTAAGGAAAACTTTAAGTTTCCAAATAAGGCATGTTTCTAGAAACTTCAGGTTTCCAAAGAATTATAAACTTCAGGTTCATATGTTCCTGCAAACAAACACAAATATATATACAGAAATATGCAACACGAAAAATATGCAAATAGATCTTCAGGGTCTATTATAATAATTGAATTAATTATTTGGGCTTTGGGCCAAAACTAAAGTGTGGGTAAAAAAACTTATAAAACCCATAAGGCCTAAAAAATATAGGCAATTAAACTTGGGGTCCAAAAATATGGACCAAAGTCCACGGGTGGGCTGAGAAAATTTAGGCCTTGTAGCACAAGCCCAAGAATTGGGTTAGGGTAAACAGATGTGGGCTGCAGGCCCAATATACCAGAGGCACAAATGGGTGTGTGACACGGTGCAGGTGCATCGATACCCCAGCTACAGGTTGGGATCGAGTGCTTGTGGGTACATGGATACACCAACCAAAGGTTGGGATCCAGTGTGACTCGGTACCAGTGCACTTATGCACCAGGCTTTAGCTGCAGGTTGAGACCTGGTGCGGCGTTATGCACGGGGACACCAAAGCCCAATGTGTTGGTATCACATGGGCTTAGGGTGAGTAGCAAGGGCTTGGGTTCGCAGGCCCATGGAATTTTTTTTTTTTTTTTTAGATTATTGCTGCATGTTAAATGAGTCCAGGCCCAGAGGGCTGTGGGTCAGACCAAACATTAATCCTAGCTATGCTGGGTGTATGCATCGAAGGAGATAATCGGTGCTGCCGCTTTTGGCGGCTGTGTTGTGGTTCAAAGAACTCGAGGAGAGTCACGTGGGTCGACGATGACCAAGGTGGTGAATGGAGAAGGTTAATATCGACGTTCAAGAACCAAAACCTAGAAATTTTAAATCGGATTTTCAAGAAATTCTGATGAAATTCAAGTAACTCTCGATCCAATTTTCGTCGGAGACGACTTCTAGTCGTCGGTGACAGTGATCAAAGGCTCGACGTGTTGGTTGCAGGCTATGCCTGCAGTGGTCGTGGACAAGGACGCCATTAATGACGTCATGTTATTCTAGGTCGCAAAGCCTGGAGCTTCTGACTCAGTGGATTGGTTCACTCGGCTTGACTCAGGGAGCGCGACGACTTGGCTTCCTGCCGTCACACTCGGGGTTCCCAACGAAACCCTAATATTTTTTTTTTTTCAATTTCCAAATTACAATTCAATGCATATTCAACATGTAATTCAATGCATGAGCAGATATTTGATGCAATTCATGGCAATATCAACTCACATAATTCAACATTTATGGATATAATGCATACACAATTTATGTAGAATATAAAATTCAACAAAACGTAAAGTTGGGTCATGCATTATGGTGAATGTTCATGCTATCAAGGGTGCAAAAATATCGAGATAAAAACCGTTGTTTTGAAAGAACCTGATTGCGTGATGATATTGATGAACCAGTTTGATGCAGAAAGCTTTCACGTCAAATTCCTAAGTGCAACGGTATGAGCGTGCTGATAACGTGTTGTGGCTTATTTTAATCTGATAGGGAGAGAGGGGCTCAAGAGAGAGAGAGTAAAGAGAGATATGTGTTTGTAGGGTTGTGTAGAGGATGTGTTATTCCCCATACGCAGTGCCTTTATTTATAGTAACAAGGGAGGAAAGAATCATTCTCCTCCAAGGAATACAAGTCATAATATAGAAGAATAACTAGTATAAAATATAATTTAGAATTTACACAATCATACTTAAATACAAAGTTTATAATAGTTTTTATTTTATTTGATGTTGCTTGTCATAAAAATGATATACAAATATAAGGAAATTTTCTTAGCGCTACTTTAATTTAATGGATAAATAAAAGCGATTGGTTCCAATTATTTTTAAGGTAAATCGGTCTAGTTATGCGTAAAACAAATTAACATTCGGGTGCTTTCGAATCTCGATGAGAAAAATTGTATTAGGCGGGGGCTTTTTTTTCCAAATAATTAGAATCACCAATAACATTTGTTTTTGGTAAAGACCACTAAGTGTCTCCCAAGGATAGGCAATAGTTATGGCGGGCGGGTAACCGCGGTTATTTACTCATAACTGTTAATACTCATACTAGCATAACCGTTTACCCATTGGTTAATTGCCTAAACGGTTATACCCATACCCATAACAGTTTATAAACAGTTAACTATACTCATAACCGCATACTTATTTAACCATAACTGTTTAATATCCATTTACCCTTTTCAACCTGTTTATCTTTTTTTTTTTTTTTTTTTTTTTTTTACCATTACCCCTTTTTCACCCGTCTACATGTTTTTTAACAACTTGAAAAAAAATTGTCATAATTTTCTCTTTTTTTTTTTTTTTTTTTTTTTACAATTAAACACCGCTATAGGTAACATTCATCATACATTTCAGTATTTTAATTTTTTAAGTCCTTATACCATTCCAATAATTGAAATAATAGTTTATGGACGATATTTTTAACTGTTACCAATGAAGGTAATATAATATTTGCTAAGTATTCTTAAGTTACGAAAACTGTTTAGAAGATGGTATTCTTGGGTTATTTTACCCATTATGTAAAGTATTAACATAATATATACAATGAGCTACATTATATTATAATTAGTTATATAAACCATGTACTATAGTCAATAGCATTGATTTAAGTTTTGTCCGATAGAGAACATGGTTAGAAGAAGGATTACACTTGTTGACCGTGAATCATGTCTTTTCGGCAACAATCAAAAGATGCAACATTCAAATTGAAGAGATGTGATTGTTTGGTTAATAACACAACTTCCCATCCCTTGTCAAACAGCCGCATACATATACATATATATATATATATATATGTATGTATGTATGTATATAATTTTATTTTTAAAATATTCAACATTACATATATAAAATAAATGGGTAAATGGTTACCTGTTTATAACCTCGGTTAATATCCATAACCATCCATTTAAATTTCATGGGTAAACGATTATACCCATAACTGTATATTTATCTAAACGGTTAGCCATAACCATAACCGTAAAGTTTAAATAGACGGGTAATCGCAGTTACGCATAACTGCGGGTATTTTGCCCATTCCTAGTGTCTCCACACTTAAAGGGTGGGTCTAATCTCTGCTCGAGATTCGGCTTGCCTCTAGCCACAAAGTGCTCTCAACTGGTTCCGAACTCCTGCCAGAAACGCACCAGGAAATCGCCAACTGAAGGTGGCAATTTGTAAATTGGACCACATCTTGTGGTTAGTCATATAGAGTTTATATTGATTGTTGAATCCACATGGCAAGAAATAAATTGAAAAGGTAAGTAGAGAAAGGTAAAAGGGACCGGTAGCTAACATCCCTCTAAACATAATATTGAACCCCAAGCAAAACAAAGTCCAAATAGACAACCCAGACAAAAAAAACAAGGCACAGAACAGCTCACAGCAGCCTGCACCACAATCGCCATCGAAGCACTGCAACCGGCTACCGTGCACCACCATCTCCAGCAAATGCCAGAGATCTAGCCAACCGACATCCCAAAAGTGATGGAAAAGAAAGTGCCAAACGTCCTCCATCCAGCACCAATATTGAAAAAACTAGTGATCTGAGCCACAAATTGAAAGAAATCAGGGAGAAAGATCCCACCGGTAACATTGCCAATAAAGGCATACACAAGGAAGGTGATGTTGTGATCACCGGAGCCAAAGCTATATGCACCTTTCCAAGGGTTCGCAACAATTCGCATGAAGAAAAAGTGACTGCAGATCTGGAATGATGCGAGATCGAGGAAGGCCAGAGCCAGGTGGGGAGGATAGGATGGGGAATGAAGAGAAACATGGAGGTCAACAGGAAACATAGATTGGATGAAGAGGGGATCAGAACTTAGGGCAAAAGACAAGGTAGATTGGGGCAAAACAACAAAAAAGCATTTTCCCACTAAGTAAGGTCGGCTATATGAATTCTAGAACGTCATTGCGTTCGGTTTTGTGTAGATTGGGGCAAAACAACGGGGACAAAATGGCAGGGCAACGAGCACACAGAAAGAAAAAAAAAAAAAAAAAAAAAAAAAAAAAAAAAAAACAGAAGCAGGAAACGGCCACCGACCCTTGGCAAGGGTCAGCGACGGAAGAGGGAGGAAGAATTTGACAACAAACTCTCACAAAGGGGGAGCTTTAATTTGTTGTTAGATTAAACCTGTTTAGATAGGTTCACAAATGAACACAAACTTTGGAAATAAAAATTATAAAAAACTTTCTATTTGGACCATGTCAAAACCATTCTACAATCGGAGTGGAAATGTGAATCGAGACTCGTATATGAATATGTGTCAACAAGTGTATCAGTTTTGTGTGTCCAAGTAACATTATCTTTGAGAAAAAGATTAGCTTCTAATGGACCTAATATATAAATAGGTATTTTTGAAGAACTCCCATATACCAACTAAAACCATGACATTTCAAGGTGTAGGTCAATGTATTTGAAAACTAAGAACCAAAATAGTATAAACTTTTCATAACTTGTTACACAGAAAACGTATTTGAAATAATCTATGAAGTTCATCCTGTGTTAAAATAGACTATAACAAGAACCAAGCAGTTCAAACCCGATTGTATGCAACCGATTTGCTGAAAAGTTTGCGAATGTAAACGACTTGCAAAGCACTCGCAGCAGCCAGCGCAAGATACTCTCCCACTGTATACAACACAACCCGCCTCCTTGTGCTCTCGTTTGCTGCGGCAGACACAAAAAAGCATGTGATCAGAATCATAAGATGGTGCCTGGTTCTAAAACATGAAAGATCTACCGCATTATTTTGTTACTTAGTACTGAGACGAGCTAAAAAGAAGCAGGTTTGCTATGGACAAATAGTTGTGAGAATCCGTTAACCCTAATAATGTAGTTTTGCAACCCAATATGCCGCATGTCCATGGCAGCAGTGACACCATCGAATCAATTCATGACCCTCATTTTGCTGTTACTGAGAGTTTTTGACTTCATAAGATGTGCACACAATCAAAAAGTTGAATATCACAGAAGTACCTAAGCAGGTTAATGATAGATTGACGTTTTCAAATGTTCTCGATGATGTGCTGCCAATATGTTTTCATACACTGAATTAAGACTTGAAACTTTTAGCTAACACACATGTTAAACCTATTGAGCACAAATTCTTCAGTTTTGAACACTCAGTACATACTTATTCAGCACTTGATAATTCCAAGATAACCTTTTCAATCCTATCAAAAATCACCCAGAAGACATTTGACAAGAGGACATCCTAGATATTAAAATTCAGGAAATACACAAACGTCTCACAAAAGAGAGAGGATCCCGTTAACAAAGAAGGCATAAACCTAACTGCCAGTAGGATACGCTGATATAGCATGACTCTATCATTGTTAACTTTCTTTGGTAAAGAGAGAAAGAAAACTTACTATGACGATGTCGAACATCACGTGCTTTCAAGTACTTCTGCTCTAATGTAACTGACTCCAATGCTTCTCTAAGCTCAGCAATTTTAACATTTATTGGGTCTAGATGTTCTGCAACAAACCAACATCTAAAGGTTAAAAAAACCAAAGGACGGAGATACTATTGAAAGTCTAGAACATGTTACTGAGATCAACACACTTCAACAAGCAATTCAGAGTACTTGACATTCAAAGGCAAAAGCTATTTTCTTTTTGATTGTCAAGGCAACAAATTACTTCAAATTGTAGCACCACAATTGAAAACGGAAACGAAAATAACATAACGAAAACTTATTGACAAAGCTTTTCACAAACCATCTTTGGCAATATTGTGCTCGTTGGGAATATGACCAACATGTATGTTAAAAGAAACAGTCTCTGGTGTTGAGTAAGGATTGTGAAAACAAAATTTGTACATTCCGCTTCTTGGGGCTTTAAACTCAAACTTATCACCAGATGTTCCCTTCGAAGTGTGCACCGTATTATCCCCAGGAGATGTCACCTGCACAAAATACCAACATCAGCCTTTTTTTCATCATTGGAAAAGTTTACTTGCAAGAAAAAGCACCTACTGGCTACTGGTGCAGCTTATGAAACAAGTAGCATACTATAACAAAAACTCGTGGATGTTAAGAAAACAAAATTTCTAGAATAGTAATAAAAGATGGACAGCCTTTCTTGGTCCATTTACAGAAAGATAGTTGCATGCCTTCAAACAAAAAGCTGACCCCTTTTTGTCCACCAATGTCAAAGTTTATTTATTTGAACAAGAACCTAAACCCATTTTGCTTACAAGGAAACATGGGGCGACATAAATATTAAGTAAAGTATACCCAACAGTGAAACATAGTAAAATCAAAATTACTTGCAGCTGAAAACTAATAATTCTAATAACCAACATTAGGAATTTGGTAGGGCTAGGCCCCCAGGTGGTTCAAAGCCCTACACACCACATCTAAATTTAAAGTTTATATGCCAAAGTCTCACATCTATATGTTGACCGCAGTACTATTATAAATGTCCTATCTTGCTTATAGTTGAATAAATCTAACATTACTTTGAAGGTTAGAACAATAAAATTTGACATAAATTTCAACTCAAATGCCACAATTCAAACTGAAATTTAACTTACCACTTTTATGAAATTACCACAGATTATCCCTACTAAGCACGCCTGTAGGGATTACTACGTGTAACCATCTGCATTGTGATCCACTACTCTATTGTTTTGGAGAATTAGACTATAGCGATACAGGCAGACAGCCAGTGTAGCCCTTATTTCCAAAGTACTCCAAGACCTTCCCCCGGTTCTCGTAGTTTCCTACCTACTTGAACTATTCCTACTCGAACTATTCCCTACTTCATGGATGATGCTACAAAGACTTAAAAAAGATCAAACCTTTGATCTTATCAGTTATCCATATTTTCCGATTCGGGGCTTGAAATTCGATACAATAAACTATGAATATCAAAGAATCTTCACAATTGGCGTTGGACTTACAAGCATCAAGATTGCAGCTTCAATTACCGCATTAGTTCAAAAATCAACACTTTCAAAAAGTTCTAACAAATTTTAATACCAAACAATTTGAAAACTACACTCTACACTCAGATCCTTTCCACAGCAAACAAAACCCCCGAAAATTATTCCCTTCCATAAACCCTAAAATCCCAATTTGGCTAAATTTCGATGCATTTGCGGTGTAGCGATAACAAAAAAATTAAAAAAAAAGATCTCACGATTAAATCGAGGCCGGGATGATCGGCGCCCCAGAAAATATCGTGATCGACGACCACGAAGTTGCCCGAAACGGTATCGCCTTCGTAAAGCACGTACTCGTACACGCATTCAACGTCGTTCACTGTCACCGATAGCGATGCGATCTTTCCGACGAAGCTCACCAAAAGAAGGCCAATCAGCGTCAAACCCCTCGCCCTTCCCTCCATTTTTTTTTTGTCTTTTCTGTTTTCGGGTCTGAAAGATTCAAACTCCAAGACGACAGCTTGAAGTTGAAGGAGGAGGAGGAGAGGGGAAGGTGGTCTTTGTGTGGGTTTTCAAACCATTCGCGTTTTTGGTTTACTGTCGTCCGTGAAAACGCAGACTGATACGTGGCGTTCGACTATACGTCCTTGACACGTCGCTCGTTCCACGTAAGCAGACGAGTCAACTTAGTAGGAAAGATGGGATCCAATTCCAACTTGGAAAAGGATCCTCTCCGTATCCACTTTGTAGAGGTCTTAGGGATTCTCATATCCTAAACATTCATTCTACTCGTACGGTCATTTTTCGTCGGATATTATTGGTGTTTAATTTTAAATAAAAAAGTCAAATGATTTTTTATCGCACGATACACGATGAATGACTAAGATGTGAGGATCTTTAGGATCCTTACAAAGTGGATCCGGATGGGATCCAATTCCAACCTGGTATTATTGAGCCTATTGGGTTTTTTTTGGATAAATTACACAAAATTACCTCAATTATTGGGTCAATCATAGTTTCATACCTCACTTTTAAAAAATTTCAATATCATACCTTATCTTACGAATTTGTTACAATATCATACATCCGTTAGGCTTTTTGTCAATCTCTCTGTTAAATGCTGATGTGGCATGAGACGGAGCCCACTTCATATTCCAATTAGATTAAAAAATTAACTAAATATTAAAAAATTGAAAATCAAATCATTTAAATATTTTATAAAACAAATATGGGACCTACCTCTTATCCCTATCACGCTTCTTATCCTTTCCCGTCTTCCCTAACCCAAAACCAGAACCACCCCAAACCCAGATCTCACCCGTGCCAACATCCCCCCCAACCCTTCTTGGCCACTCATTCCACTCCCTCATTCTTCTTTTCTCTCCCCAGAAACAAACAAATTTTGAAACAAAAAAAACCCAGAAGTTTTTTTGCAGGTGATCGATTCCGTCGATTCTCTCCCCACTCTTCTCTTCTTTGTTGGTCGTCACTTCTCCTCCCCCCCCCCCGTGGCACGTCAACATCGCTCCTCGCCTTCTCTCTCGAGCCCTAAACCAAAACCCAGAAAAATCTAATCGAACCCGCTCTTTTTCGACCCCAGAACCCAAGTATAGCTGTTTCCCGTCCCCTAAGACAAAACCCACAAACTCTTGAGCAAAGCCCGAAGCTTTCTCGGAAACAGGCAAATTTGAAATTTAGGATTGGGGGCGAGGCAGAGACTGGGACCGTGGGCGATGGCAGTGATGGTAGAAACTGAGGCCGTGGGAGATGGTGGTGATGGTGTCATGGACATTGCTATAAAGATGATTAATGCTAAGAATTTGAAATTTAGGGTTAAGGTTTGGGTGGAATTAGGGTGTTTTGTTTGAAATTAGTTACAGGGATTAATTTGGTTAGGGTGATGGATGTGTAGGAGGGAGGGGATGGGGAAGGGGAGGAGCGTCATGGAAGGGAGGTGGAGATGGAGGAAGAGAGGGCGTGGGGTTCTGGTTTTGGCGGTGAAGGGAGGTTGGGGGGACACAGATGGATGGGGAAGAAGGGGTGTAAAAAATTAACTAAATATTTAGTTTTTAATACTTTATTAATTTTTAATAGGGAGTGAGCATCGCCTCAAGCCATGTCAGCATTTAACAGAAGAATTGATTGACAAACTGATGGAAAGTATAACATTGCAACAAATTCGAAGATAAGGTATGACATTGAAATGTTTTAAAGATGGGATACAAGACAAAAAGGGAACACCCAAGCTATCTTAAAAGAGCTCAACCCAAAGCCCAAATTTTGATACAAAGCTCCAGAATGTTCCAGATTGCTCCCACTGTCACAAAAATTCTTCCCGATCAACCAAAACTAATTTCCCAAATCGACGCCATAACTCCTACCAAGCAGCATCATAGAGATGAAGTGAAGTGATACCTTGTATCTTAGCCACGAACTCTGCACCGATCTCGGTCAAAAATTGAAAAAGCACGTGGGATTACCACAAACAACACTGCCAACAAAGGCAGAGAGAAAGAATGAGGTGGTCGTGTAAACACCCGAGCTGACATCACCGAAACTCTACACACCTTCTCAAAAAAAACGCATCAAAATACGTTGAAAGCTGATTGCAAACCAGATCGAAAAAGGTCCAAGAAGATGGACGCCCATAAAGTATAACGGATTGGTTAAAACGGTAAAGATAGATGGGGAGAAAGGAAGCAAAAGGAATGAAAGGAGGAAGCAAAAAAGAAAGCATCCAGATCTTCCACCGACCCTCGCCAAGGCGAGGGCCGGTAGCAACGGAATCGACAGGTTGGAAGCTACTCACACTAATGGTGGGAAGGACTCTTAAAAAAAAGTTGACATTTAGGGGCTATTGGGTTTCCATTGTGGGATTGTCCTTTGGTTAGAACTTTTGGGCCAGTTTAGATGTTGTTTGTTGTCTGGAGACAGTTTATATGATCGAATTTGGGTTGGGCTAACTCGAATTTAGTTGAACTCAATCCAAGTTCGAGTTAAGTTAAGGTAATCTCTATAGGTCAGGTTGAGGTTTTGCTCAACTGAACACAACTCAGACTAGAAATTCTATACTACGAACACTTAAATTAAGTGTTACATAGATAAAAATGGGTTATTTCAATCCGCCTAATACTCATTTCAAACAATGAGCTTAGAATGTGAAGGCGAGAAGGTTAAGGCAGGGTTTAATGGTTCAAACCCATCCAATAGCCCGAGTTGCATGCATCCCTATTTTGTGCCTATGGATTCACTTGTTTTTTCAATTTACATAGTGTGGCCATACGCGTTCTCTTTCGTCATGCATGCAACATGTTTCATTATGTCATGGTCATGTGAGCAAATTTCTTGGTGTACAAAGAACCATTTCTCTCTCTCTCTCTATATATATGTTTTCAAAATCAACGGTTGGATCTTGGTAAAACGACAAAGAATGTAGTGCAATAATATATTGAATAGAAGTCTCTTCTTGTTTCCACTGACGGAGCCACGTTAAGGGCTACCCTGGGCTATAACCTAGGTAGCGTTCGGTGAAAAATAAAATTCGACATGTAATTTTTATTGATTTTCGATTGTGACCCACTATATATTTAGTCATTGATTCAAAATTTCTCAGTTTGATTATATAAAATTATGTAATACAGTTTACAAACCATTTCTTTTTCTTACATTCTTTTTTTCTCATCGATTCTTGTATATATACAAGTTTGGATTTGTTTGAATTTAAACACGTATTTGTTTAATAACGAAAATACTTGGCTCATCTTGTCAAAATTTTCTTTAGCTAGCTGATAATGTGAAAATACAGTATCATGTTTTTTTATTATAATGATTTAAATCTTTAAGCTAGCCCACCTGGTGAAAAATTTCTAGTTTCGCCATTGCTTGCTTATCTAGTGCAGTCAATCTCTGAAGAATAAATAAGAATTAAAGTTGAAGAGGAAGAAAAATAGACTCATAAATTGCAGGAACAAGTTAAAGAGGTTATGAAAGAATTGCAATAGACTGAGTTGAAACTGTATGAATTGGAGTAAAATGTGATGACGTTGAATGAGGTGATGGCTGTGGAGAAGAAACAGAAGAGGATTGTGAAATCATTGGGGGCAGTGGGCAAGCCAACAAAAGCACTAGGGTGGCTGCTGCATTTGCCAAGTTCCTTGTTGACTTGTATAGTTTCCTATAATTTAGGATTTCCTAGTTTATGATGGATCCCGTGTAATCTAAGAGAAATCTCTTTGTAATCTCTTGTAATTATTCTTCCTTATTTGGTTAGGATTAAGGCTGTATATTATACCTCACTTTGAGATGAATGAAAATAACTTCAAAGCATTCACTTCTTGGTATCAGAGCCACTCTACCGTTTGATGCGAATGTGCCGGCGAGGACGCCAGTTTCCCTTTAAGTGGGGTGGATTGGAAGATCTCACATCGACCAACGGAGAGGGGGTGATGCGTTTTATGTGTACATGCTCCCCTCCTTATAGCACGAGGCCTTTTGGGAACTTACTTGCTTCGGATTCTATCGGAACTCCGAAGTTAAGCGAGTTCAGGCGATAGCAGTCCTAGGATGGGTGACCCCTTGGGAAGTTCTCGTGCCGAAACCCAAAAACAAAACCGTGAGCTAATGGTAAGCCCAGAACGGACAATATCGTGCTACGGCGGAGTCGAGCTGGATGTGACAGAATTCTATGCAGCCCCATGTTCCCTTGTTCCTTTGTCACTGTGTTCCCTTGATCAGCACCACCGCTGAGGGCTTCGGTGCACCGTCCTAATTCGTGATCAGTGAGCAACATTTATGTTGTTGTTGCAGTGTACTGATTCTTAAGCAGCAAACATCTTACTATGTGTTGTTGATGCTTAGACTTGCTGCCCAGAATTGTCAACATATTTATTTTTTATTTTATTTGCCCATGAAGGGTGACCCTAACATAACCGAGCCCACCACTGAGCATATGAATTCATTGCTGAATCTAAAAGTAAATTAGATTGTATAAATGACAATGCATCGGCCTTGAGTATCGTGGCCAGTGATGACGGTAATATTAGAGTATAAGTAGTATTTATACGGGTTGGTAATAATCCTTGTTGTCTTAGATTGCTATAAAAAAAGTCTTAATATGTTTATGAGAGTTAATTCGACTTTGGTTTGGATTGAAACTCTGTGTTGATAAGCTTAAGAATAGAACTCGTACAAGGATTTGGTCTTGTATTCCTTGTAGGATTATTATAGGGTAATCCATATTTTGTAGTATAAAAACCACAAGCCCCTGCTCTCACCAAAACACGTTTTTATTGTTCCAATTACCTATGACTTGGAGAGCATTGTGTTTTGCAGAGAGGAGAAGGTTGTGTGTAGATTTCTCCAATGACTCTTAATCCTAATGTGTTTGAACATAATTATGATATGGTGTCCAGTACTACTCTTTCCTGTGATCAATGTCGTGAAACATGAAGAGTTTGAAGTGCAGAGATTATTAGGAGAAGGTGACAGGATCACCAACTTGCCTGGACAACCACCGGTGTCATTCCTGCATTATGCCAGCTACGTCCGACTTCCCAATTCGGGGAAAAGACCTTGTTCTA